GAATGTGTGATCTAATGACTGAGTAAGTACAAAGTAATGAATGTGTGATCTAATGACTGAGTAAGTACAAAGTAATGTATGTGTGAGAGCCTTTTATAAGAAGAGATTTTAGAAAATGAATAATCCATTTCAGAAATAATAATTTTTATTCCTACAGTGCTGGAATTTCAGCATGTGGAACAAATTTGATAACAATAGGGCAGAAAGGGAGAATGGCATATATAAATGCTCATGTAAGTGTAGATTTTTTTTTTTAAGCATAGAGCTATCTGTTCTGTGTCCACCATAAATATTGAAATCCAGTTTTTAGCATTAAGCCCACAGACTTACTATTGATGCACTGGGGGGAAGAACATTATAAGTTCAGAAATTTACTGCTGACCCACTGTGAGACAGCTGTGGAAGCAATTTTAGCTAATTCTGATTAAAACTTTAAATTCACATTTAAAGAAGAGTATTAGACTAAACAATTAGAGACCTTCCTCAGAAAATCTAAAAAAAAATTAATTTAACCAAAACATTCTGAAAAAACAAAATTTTTTTCTCTTTTTAATATAACAGTTCTCAAAATATATAATATTATAACTATATTAAAAAAAGCTTTACATTCTATTCTTCATAGTTATTAGAAACATCAGCTGTATTAATTGTTTGTTTGTTTTTGAATTTCACGCAAAGCTACACGAGGGCTATCTGCGCTGCTGTATTAATACCTTGGCTCACAGATATAAAAACATGCATCAATCTCTTCCAAAAAAACAACAAAGATCACAAAGGAAGTCTCTTTTAACTTGCATATTATTTGAAGAACGATGTTTTTTATGAATTCTTTATGCTGCCTTTATCAGGGAATACACAGTTTTTATGTATAAAAACCTGTCTTTGAAAATTTTATGCATAATCAAGATGAAAGTTATGGTGGTGTTCATAAAAAATATTATTTTTTTAATTTTGGAAGCAATGCAAAGGAAACTACATTGTTTCAAGTTAATGTTGTACCTCCTATAATATTTTTTAAAAATATTATTATAAAATGAAAACTACAAAGGATTAATCACACTTTATAAGAATGATATACATATGCTAATGCAGTAATGTGTTGTTGTGGATGCAAATCATGATATTATGGATTAAAGGATTAGCACTTGTATGTTTGTGTCATGTTAATGCCCGACTATTTGATGAGTGCAATGCTACCATGATGGACCCATGGCCATCTTTCTACAAAAAGAAATGTTCATATAGTGAGATTGTTAAATGATAAACAGTCAAGAGACAAAATTATGAAGAAGAGTGTCTTTCATATTCTTAACAAAAGCAGAAAGACTTGAATAAAAATATGGCTTTAAAAATGCATCGAAAGCCAATGTTCCAATTCAAAATGATATTACAACAAAGCTAGGCATATCTCTTGGTACCTTTAATATGATAAAGAACAAAGATCTAAATTTGATGAATGTTCACAAGTTTTTAGCCCCATCTCAAAGGAAATGAAAGTCACAGCAATTGCAACTGACACACACACATTTCAAGACCTCAGATGTAGCTCCAATGGGCACTTGTACTTTTAGTTTTGGAAGCTAGCATCCATGTGTAATGGAAAGTTTGTGAAGAAATGTGGTATACATTTGATCTAAATGGCCTGTCTTTTTGCAGAAGTTTATTACAAAGAAAACTGTGAAATTGGAAAAAATGTGTAATCATAGCAATTAGACTAAGTATGACTGCCGATGGAGGAAATTGTTTCAATGGCAACAGGGAACTGGAGAATCACTCTTATAAAGTTTGGTTAACCTTAGTATATTTCTGGTTGATTTTATAACTGTTAAACATTTTGTACAGTTTTAATATATATATATATATATATCACTGTTAAAAACAAGATGTGTATATTAAGTGAAGTGGTAAAATATTTTTATTAATATGCAGCTGCAAATGAATACTACAAATACAGTGAAATATTCTTCCCTGCTAACTAATCACTTAGATTTAATTTACACTTCTGCAGTAGAGTACTTACAAAATAATCTAATATCCATTTCTGTAATTAAGTCTTGAGGCTGGTAAAAAAAATAACAAGATTATTTCATTTCCATCTGACAATGCATAAATCTTTTTGGGAAAAAAATTTTAATGTTTGGATAAAAGATTAAATTGATATAGCTAAATTAAAGCACAAAGCTTCTGTCAAAGTAGCACAAAGACGTACCAAAAGGTATTCACAATACAGAATGGCTATGAATAAGCTACAGAGACATGGTTCTGTATAGTCAACTAAAGAGCATACAATCCAAGGCTGAATCAACATTGATTATTCTGTAAAATCAGTTGAAAAACAAACAATCCAAGGCTGTATCAGCACTGATCATGTTATAAATAGTGACTAAATACAACAGTCAATGCAAACTTCCTTATAAAGATTTGCTGTGTCGTATCTTAAATTTATCTTAATAATAAAAACTTCATTAACAACTGCAGTGCAATTTCACTGAACATCAAAACAATTATTTAAACTCTGATGCTTTTTTTTAAAATTTTCACACATAGCTACACTAACTATCTGTGCATAAGTGTTTCTATTTTTGAGCTGGCAGACTAAATGGAAAGCAGCTAGGTCAACAGCACCCATCAACTCTCGTATGACTGAATAACCTTAAAGTGAATTTTTGCAGCAAAGGGGCACAAACCATGAGCCCTAAGATTCATAGTCCAGATATGCTAAATACTAGGCCATTATACCCCAATCTATTAATAGTTTCATTTAGTTAGTACAGATTGTGATGGACCAAAAAGTAGCTTAAAACTTTGATAAAATCTGCTTCATTGCACCTTCAAATATTTTAGTTCACCAAAGTTTATAAAATATTTATAATGAATAGTACAAAATTAAATCACTAAACATAGAAAGAGAAAAAAAGACATAAAATCTAATTTATATAGCACTGTTAAAGTAAGAAGAGTAATTGTTTTTCTCACAATTAACCTCATTTAAGATTGTTTGAACATGATTTATTAACTTATACTAATATTATATCCTTAAAATATTTTTCACATTTTACACTGTCTCTAAACTGAACAAAAATAACAATTTTTGCAGTATGAACATGTAATCATATGAACCTAATTAAAAATGAATAGTAAATACACTTTGGTTTAATACAAAACACTGCAACTTATATCCAGTGATTAGCACAAACAGTATTTAAATGTAGTACCTTAAAGCTTTTTTTTGATAGTCTTCAACTTTAAAAATATGCACAAGCTAGACAAAAAAAATCTCAGTATTTTTTTTTATTTTTATAAATCACTTTAACTGAATCAGCTAAGATTAAAGTCACTGACCTTTCCTAAGTCTAACAGTAGCTTCTGGATACGATTTGAAATAGCATTAACATCTTTTGTTGCCTGTCCTCGATAACTGAAATGGACAAATAACTCATATTTATTTTACAAACTAGACTGAAGATGAACACACTTTTTATAGAAAACAAGCTTTTTTGTTCATCAAGTTAATGTTAAGACTACAACAGTTAACTCTGAAGTAACCAGAACAAGAAAATAGGTGACAGTGTATAATAAACAATCTAGTGACGTGGTTAAAACATAAGGGGAAAAAAAAAGACTCTTCCTTCCTTTTTCACTGAAAATAAAAGGAAGAAATCCTTTGTTTTTTGTCAAGAAAAAGCAAATTTATTGCAAACAAATGATTTTAATATTTTGAGATAAATAAAAGAAATAACATAATTATGGTGTTTAGGTTTCAGCTTTTAATAATTGTAATAAAAACTTTAAGAATGAAACAAGATACAAATATTTCACAGACTGTAGTTACATTGATTCATGACTGCAGGAAAAGCTATTATTCCAGTTTCTAGATGTTTGCTTTGCTGGAAATTTACTATTAAGAAGTATTTCTCTTAAACTATGTCATTTTTACTTATTTTTAGGGACTGCTCTGGCTCATAAGAAATTGGAGCCAAAATAATTGCCGAACTCAGAATTCTGTCACCTTTTTTTAAACCAGGAGTTAACTAAAAGATAAATTCTGACAATGAATTTGTAATGTGTATATACACATACAAGCAAGACAAAAAGATTTATGAACCAAGCAAAGCAAAATAAAAAAACAATAAATATTACTCATATTTATTTAAATATTTAACATAGCACTATCTAACATATAATTTATGTTTAAATTTTACTGGCATTAAATGTTGGAGTAAAAAATTGTCAGACAAAAATAATACAAAAGTACAAAAAAGAAATTCTGATGAAGCCTAAAGTTTTAGAGTTTAATTTTGCTACAGCAAGCAGTCCATAAACCACCATATAAAACAGCAGAGAGTTAAAAGTTTTTGATTATTTTTGGCAGTCTTTAACAAAGAGTTACCAACACATTTTGAAGTTTGATATATCTTTCAGAATCAGCAGTCATATCTGGTATGGTTCCTCGAACAGGGAGTGTTCCTAGAAAAAGGAATATTGAGTGCTGTTAACACAATGACAAGCAGACATAATAAAAAACTATATTACAATTTATATACAACATATACTGTTGTAGGGTAATCTAAATACACCTGTAGAACGATGACATAAAACAAGGGTGAAATATGAACCTCTGCGATACTTACACTATAATGACTTATAAAATTCCAATTTGTGTATCTGAACAATAGGATGGTAAAATCCCACTACATGTGTGTCAAAAACTGTATAATGACAAAATTCCATTACACATGTATCTAAACAGTAGGATAGTAACATCATATTATCTGAATTAAAATTTCATTACATGTGTCTAAACAATCAAATCTCACTGTACCTCTATCCCAAGTATACAAACAATAAAATTCCATTACATCTAAACAGTAAAATTCCACTGCACCTGTATCCAAACTATACAAAAATTCATATACATTTATTCAGACAGTGCAACAGTAAAATTCCATTACAAATGTATTCAAAAAATATAACTGCAACATTCCACTAAAATCCAAGAATAACAGTTAAATCCTATAAATTTAAATATATATATGTATGTGTGTGAGTAAGTCTTATTCACATGCACTGTTTAAAAGTGAAACAAAAACTGAAATCAAAACTTATACCCAGCATAAATAAGAATATTATTATATACAAGTTTTTTATTTTGACAATAGAGTAAAAACTTGTGAGACATGCTACATCTAAAACTTTATTTACAAGTGCTATCACTTGTGTTAGTACAAAACTCAATTATCTTTAGGACTAAATCACAAAAAAACTTGTAATTGTAAAAAAACATTTCATTATCGAAGTTTTCCATTGATAAATGGTAAATTGCACCCCAGATTCTATTTAGAGTAGTGTTTAACCAATTTCAGACTTGTAAAAATTTTATAACATTTTTTATTTTTAATGGTAATTTCTTGTTGCTAACCTAAAGCTTAAGAGCATTTCTGTTAGCCAAAACAGAACCATAATTTTAACTCAGTCCAAATGGTCATTTTTTGCCATATGAAAGACAGCATTACAAATTATTGTTTATAATAATGATGAGTTCTGTTACATTATTTCTCAGCCCAATCAACCAAAAAAAGACACAATTAGAATATACAAAAATATTACACACACATAGATGACAATTAGATACACTGCAAAAGTTGTAACACATGCATTCCTGATCTCTGTAATCTTCAATTTTTGTCCAGTATCCAAGAACTTTAATCTTTCTTGAGGTTACTACAGGAATTGAAAAACTGGGTAGCCTACCTCAGCTCTAGGACTTTCAAAAAGCATATTTCCTTAATCTGAAAAGTTATATTTTTTGTTATTGAGGTGAAGTCTTGTTATGCAGTTAGAGGTAATGTTTTATATATTGCAGTTTCATGCCATAGAATCCCGTGTGCAATGTTACCATGGTTGTGCTGTCAGTGGTAACGTTTAATATAAAGCAGTGTTATACCAAACTGTAACAGGGATTTAAAAAAGTAAAAAAATGACATTTTTTTAATAATGCATTACAAATTTTTATGAGATGGTGGGTAAATATACAAAAATAACTGTTTACTTTTTTGTTTTCCAAAAGTGAAAATTTTGAGTCTAATTCATAAAAGATGTCCTAATGGGATCAATTAATGAAGATCAGAAAATTAACTTTCTTTATTTACTCTGACTCAAATCAAATACCTTCAGCTATATATTTTAAACATTTTACATAAATAATATTGACAAAATATTTTCTAATAGACATATTTCTTCCAGATAATATAAATCTACATTTTTCTGAGAACTAGCATATCATATTTATATTTACCTTTTCCTTCATTTTCAACAAAATCCCGTAAAGCTCGAGCCATTATCCAGAATGGCTTACTCTAATACAATGAGAAACAAACAATAAATGATTATATTTATATCTTAGAGGATGAGAAAAGTTGGATTTCATTTATATCATGAAACTATCAACATATGATAAGTAAATGTTATTTGAAGCCTGTGATTGTTGTTCAAACTTTCAAAAAAATCAAAAAAAAAAATCATGCCAAACCTAATTATTTCTTCAAGTCTTAGGCAGTTTACTTTCTTTTTTGCCATGAGTTTATTCACTGCTTAGGGAAGTCTAAGTAATGTAATAAAGACTAGGTATGTTTATATTCCTTCTTAACTTAATCTAATTGAATTACTGTAATTATGCCACCAATGGCATTTTACTCTTAAAACTGTATGTCTACAGCTTCATCTAGAAAATTAAAAGTTGCTGATTATGGTCAAAATGGATACGAAAAAAATACACACAACCTTTTTTTTTATTTTTGGGTGGGAGATTATTTTATTCTTACATAAAATATTGTATCAGACTCATTAAGCATGTACTATCACATTACAGGCATCTGAGTGGGTCATGGTAAAATTGCAGGAAAATCAGCCTGGAGTTTTGGGGCTGGCAAACATACCTCTACTCCCCATAAAGTTTTCTCTTTGAATCTGCATAAATTTTATCATTGAAACTGAAAATGTTAAGTACAAAAAAGGGGAGGGATAAAATGTCATAAGAAAAACACCTGTAATTTTTTTTCCTTTGATTTTTTAATTTTTGCTCTGAATAACATCAGACATTTAGACGTTATAAAGAAAAATAATACTGCTGGTAAAGAATTAATATTTAATGGTAAAGTCATCTCATCTTGACTAATTTGAGACATCAGTTATGATTAAATTTAGTGGATTGGTGTAACAAACCAAGGTAAATGTGAAATATGTTTAAATTTGCTTGTCCTACTTTTAGAAGCTGTCAATTTTGCTTCTTTGTCTCATAGCAAAGCCACACTGAGCTATCTGCTGTGACCTTTAAACACAATGTAAAATAAAAGTGAAACATTCGTATCTAAACTACAAACATCTTCAAATCATCTTTATTAAATACACAACTTTTTCACTGTGAAAACAAATAACATTTTCCAAAAAATCATAATAAATTTTACACTTGTAGGGAAAATACTGAAGGTGATTAAGCCTAGAAATAACCACTTATCAACCATTAAGACTTACTTAGTATACGAGGCAAAACCAGAAGCATTGCTAAGTGCTGACACACGGGGCCTATGTCCCAAATCCCTAGTTGCTGTCTTGAAAAATCAGAAGAGAAAATCATGATCAATATCATACAGAAACATTAAAAATTCCCACACCTATGGCCCTGAGCCCAAATCGTTTAAGCACCTAGCAATGCCTCTGGGCAAAACAATCTAAACTGCAGAAACTGTGATAAAACAAAGTTTCTTAAATATTTTATATTTATGTTTTTGTTACAATAATTATAGATAGGATTATATTATTAGAATATATTGACAATAATAATAATAAAAATTAATAGTTTCATGCCATGAATAACTTTTCATGGTTTACCAGTACGTCAAACATTAAACTAAAATTTATTGTAATGGTTGAACAAACAGAATATTTATTTATTAGCTTGGATGAAATAGATGGATTTTTTTATTTCTTTCCAAGACATTGTTTTTCCTTTTTTAATTTTTGTTAAATCCTTCATTAAAGACTAAAATGCAATCTTACCAAAGACTATGTTAATCAGAATTATGGCTACAATAGACATATTTAAATTCAAAGATAAATTTACCTCACTTGAGAGATTTTCACATGCAGTGTCATTGAGTATGTTCTGCACATTTACAGGAACCTGAAGCAATATACAACAGGAAATTATGTGTACTTCAGATGAAAAATTTCCAGATAATTAGCACAAAATTGTACACATTTTAGATAATTCTTTCAATACCTTAAGAAAGCAAAATATTAAAACCAGTTTCCAAGATATCCTTCACGTACCACAACCAGAAGTTGCTAAATAGATGTCAGTGAAACAGCTATCACAACAGACTAATCACTTATAATGCCTACCATATTGTTAATACTACAGTATCGTAGCTTTGTAAGCAACATAACAAAAATATTTGTACAATAAGTACTAATATAACTAATAACACTAAGATTAAACAACTGTTAACCACTATAAAACAAGGGACTTCAAACACATAATATACATAATGTACTCTTTACCAGGTTCGACAGGTTTCATCATCAATTCTACTAACCACATCTATTCCTGACTAATATTTTTTGTGTGCTAGTGTGCATTCACTTCTATATCTTTAACTCATATGCAAGAATTAAAAGCTTTAATGTTTCTTCGTGTTATCTGGAAAAGTAAGAATTAAACATAAACATTTGCTATGATGAAAAAATTTAAAGCATAAGTATAATTCTTTTGTTTAAATAGATAAAAAAAAAAGAACAAAAGTTATTAGCAGTGCAATGTGAGGCTCAGGTGACCCAAATGTTATTACAGCAACGTCTCTTTGTTGCAAAAAATGACAGTAAAAACGAATAGTTAAAGCTATAAAACTTAATTATTTCAAATTCAAGTTCTTTAAATGTTTTTGGATAGTCAACCATCATTTATCAACTTTAAAGGAAAATTTTATTTATTTTTGTTTTTACCCATGTTACTTAAATGGAGAATAATGCTGTGAATAACTAAATTAAAAAAAGTAACTTATGCTTTGGAGAACAAAGGAACTTAAAATTACTGAATTAAAATCAATTTTTTGAAAATTTGGAAAGAAATTATATCACTCAGTTGTACAGTTACAAGCCTGAAATAAGCACAAACTTGTTAAACGTCTTATGAATAATCTGAAAAATTTCTCTTCTTAATGAAAAAGTTTTCCCAGCATGGCCAGGTGGTTAGGGCGCTCGACTCATAATCTGAGGGTCGCGGGTTTGAATACCCGTCACACCAAACATGCCAACCTCCGCCTTTGCCTGGTCCCAAGTCCAGGATGAGAAATGAGGAGGGTTGGGCATGGAGCTAGCAACTCCACTCAGTAAAAATCAACCTGCTACAAGTAACTGCAACAACACCTTCCGTTGGCAAGGTGTTGTTGCGGCCCTATGCTCCACTGGGAGTTAACAGGGAAAAAAAATAATTGAAAAGTTTGTTTCCAAACTGACTACTGAGTGTAACTTTGAACCATACAACATATTAACTTCTCTTAACAGAGTTTTTCTTAAAATTTATTCCTTAACACTTTATTCAAAATATTTATAGAAATTTAAAATACAATTCATGATTTTCTCACTCAAACAGTGAAGTTAAGTCATTAGTATCATAAAAAACTAAATAATTGTGAAAAAAAGAAGACATTTTGTAACTATTATTACACAAAAAATGGCATACCAATGTTGCATTCAGTGCTGTATTGACAGCTTTTATTGCTTCTTCAAAGTTTTCTTCTTCTTCTGGAACACCTTCTTGATTAGTTCTGATGCCTTATAAAACATACAACAGTAATACTTTATCTTGAGTGGTAACTTGATATCTTTATATATTACTGTAACTTTAATGAAAAATTGAATGTTGTAACATCTAAACCAACTTCGTCCAGTATTTATACTTCATGAGATCTACATTTCTATCCCCACAACCCTAACAATTCATAATTAAATTTAAGCTTTAAAAACATACCTTTTCGAAGAATTTCTTTAAAAGCTTTCTTTTCATTGAAGGTCCTGGGAATTTCTCCACTATTCTATAGAAAGTTCATGTCAAATAAATAATGTGCTTATGAAAATCTAAGTAAATGTTCTAATAACCACTTGATTTTGAAACTGACAAATGGAGCTTATATGTACCTAATCACAAAGTAGTTGTTTATACCAGTGATTCTTAAAATGTGGTCCACGAGCCCCCTTAAGATGATCTGTGTAATGGATGCTTAATTTAGGTAAGAAATCTGTAATGTAGTGTATAGATCCCATTGTTTTCCACCAATATTAAAAGAAAGTTCAAGTATTCCATGAACAAGAAGTTTGAGAACCAATGGTTTACACACAATTATGTTTCGTTATAAAAACCTTGTTACTATAAATGAAGACTCATACAGAAAATAAAATCACTTTTTTAAGCTGATTTTTTGAATTTACACTGAATACTTATAGTACCAGGTTGCATATGGAATGAGAAATAACACTAAACACGTGTGTCAATAAACTAGAAAAGAGCAAAATCTAACAGACAAAATTAATCTAATAGAGACATCACGTAAACAATAGAGTAAGTACATGAGAAGGGGAAAATTAAGACCTAAGCTACTGGCAATATAAAGAGAAGTATGTTAAGTACAATGAATCAGAAAGGGTAAATATCCCAGGTGCATGACAGTCAATTATGCTTTGTAAAGTGAATAAGACATGGTGTCCATAATATAAATATGTTATCAATAAAACCTGGGATAAGAAAAGATTTTATTTCTGTGACTTTAACAATGGATGTTTTTAAGTTTTCAACATAAGCAATGGCATATCTATGGAATATTCCAAACAATCTTTGCTGTGCCTAAAATATAATACCAAATTGTGACATAATATTTAAGAACGGCTCATTTGAGCTTCACGCAGAACCTTGTACTGTAAACGCATTTGTTTTTAACATTATGTAATTTGTCTTTTGTTTAAGAAGTTAGCGCACAGAGGATTTCAAAAGTTGTAATGGTTTTCAAATGAGACCCAAAACTCAGGCACTTTTGAATAGTTCACTATTCTTTTTTCAGGAGAATAAATGTAATTTGTCTGTTAGAGTTCTTCTATTGAAGAAATACAGTGAATAACTATTTGTTTCAAATCAATAATCTCTTGTTTTTAAGACTTAAAATAATGTACAATTAGAAAAAGTACAAATATGTCTTGGGGAAAAAAAAACAACAACTTAAGATTTGAAAATATTTTGAACAACCCACTTCTTTTATATAATATTCAATCAAACATCGTATGAGTACAGAGTTACATAAAATATACCCAGTAAAAGAAACAAAATAATACTGTTCAACTAGTAAATTTGTAGCAACTTACCTCCTTTTGCCGTTGCTGAATATATTTCAAGAGAAGTGCAACATATGGAGTGTGGCTGTGGTCCTACAAGAGACCAACATAAAAATTATGGAACACGTCTGAGAGAATTACTTGAATTTTTAATAAATCTTGATTAAAAAAAAAGTGCTAATAATTTTTATAATCTATCGATTTGAAATCAAGAACAGTGTAAATAATCTTTTAATAGCATTGCACTAATATCAACGATGAACAAAATTTAATTTTTTTTTTCTTAAGTTTGATTTGCTCCATCTTAACATCAAGTATAAAAACATTCCTTCTTAATTAAAAATTTTTTAAGTTAATAATGAAATTAACCTTAGTATTAAATAGGTTGTTAAAAAAGATACCAAAAAAAAAGGTATTAGTGAAACTGTCCACTGAAGTTAGAAAATTTAAAGTTATTATTACTTTTTTACACTAGTTGTAGAGACCCATCCAGATAATGTTCTTGATGACTTACGACTAGACAGACCCTTTCCAGCTCTCCAAGAATATGTTGACTCCCTGAATCTTGACCAGATGGACTTAAAGGTAAAACTTAATGTACTTTTTTTAAATAGGGAAGGCAGCTAGTCAACAGCACCCACCACCAACTCTTGTCTGACTGAATAGCGAGATTTCTTCTCCACCCTTACAATGCATCTATGGTTCCAAAGTGCAGAGTTTGACGTGACTGATGGACTTGCAGATCCATAGTCCAGCATAATAACCACTGGGCTATGTTCAGCCAGTTTTACAAGTAAAGATAGATTTAAACTATTACTTAATATCTGTTTTCTTAATTTTTTTAACAATAAACAATTTTGTCTGTTGTACCATTCATTTAAACTTTTTATTGTTTTACAGCTAATTTGTTTCTCTGCAACTCCTTCACCAACTTTCTAACTTAAGAGTAAAGTAAACCATAAAAAGAAACAAGTACTCAAGAAAAAAAAACAACTTCTATTTTCCCCATATTTGTCCAACTACACCTACATTGAAAACTTGAACTATATAGAAAGCATTTCGGTGCAGTTAGTAAAGCCTTAGTTGCTAGCTTTTCAATTTAAGATATGAGTATGTATATATTCGAAGCAAACTTTTTGATGGTATATTTCTAAATAAGAAATTCATTGCTCATATGTTTTGTAATATCAACTTTATCTTTTCTATATAAAGTTCACGCTTAAATTCAACAATACCAAAAAACAACATCAATAAATCCTCAGTAAAACCCTGAAAATAAAAATTATTTCTTAATAATGATAAAGTCACTATCATGACCCAATCGAAAAATTTAGATAAACCCCAAACATTTTTTTGTGGAACAAGTTGAATTAGTTTGAAGTTATTTAGGTCACAATTTCCATACAGCTGGCAGATTGTATAAATGGAAGATTCTAAAATTAATTACTTTTTTACAAGTTACAGCTTTTACAGTAAGGAAGATTAGTTTTTAGAACAGGTACAATGTTTCAATTATTGGTCCGATCATTTTCAAGCCATGGAAGTTGTACATGTGTACATGGGATTATTTTACACACAGTCTGATTGTAGAACCATTATAGGTGAAAAAACATTTCCACTGAAACCATAAAGTTTAGTACACTAATTTATTTGTGCTCATTGTAATCGTGCTGATTCTATCATGAGTGGCTGAATATTCAGGTTGACGAATATGCTAATAGTTTGGTATCTAACAAGGTATGTGTTATTCTAAAGCTTTAAATTAATGTGATGATATAGTACAATTTAAATTACTTATTTTAACTAAGCAAAAAACAAACGGAATCTTTGTATATATACATACATACAAAAAGTACTTTGATAAAAAAAACAAACTAAGTCAAGAGTTTAACCATACTTTTGATTTTTTCGTAAAATATTGTTTTCAAATTATGTTACCTGTATGTTCTGTGACCTGTAATCTCATGTAGCCAATCATGCCATAAGCTCTACAGACCAGTAGTGGAACTCCAGCTTCCCATAAAAGAGAGGATAGCAGCAAAAGGGTTCTAAATTAAGAAAACTGTGTCATTTTCTTTAGTGCAAATTTTGATACTTTTTTTCTCTTTTTACTCCCTGTTACACACTGATAAAACCTTTGATTGTACACTTACAAACTGTATAAAAGTTTCTTATTGTATAACAACATTTACATGTTCTATCTATTCTTAATAAATACTAAACTCGACACAGTTAATAAACATATTCTTTCCTCTGAATGTTCAAAATGAAGCTCAGTAACTGAGGTTTAAATATAATAGAAAAAGGCATGCCATGAAAGGGAAAACAAATTAAATATACATGTATTAGGTCCTCAAGAAATTAATGTTGCATTTTGGAACACTTTCATTAACCACCCC